AATTTGAGAACAGTACGGTCTTCCAAAAGTCCAGAGGCTTGGTCATCATATCACATGTTGCCAGGTCTTAATAAGGGCTTCCATCTAGCTGCTCTGCAACGATAACCCAATCTGTGGAGAATCCGTTGAGCAGATTTCGGGCTCATCCCACCAACTTTGGCCACTTCTGCAGTTGTTAATCTGGGATCCATTTCGATGCTCCTCTTGACAGCCCTTTTTGTCCTCTCCGATGGACCAGGACGACCCGGACGCTGCTCAGTTGTTTCCTTGCCATGTTTTCTGAACTGCACGCTGATTCTGTTGACTGTCGAAAGCGGGATTCCCAAATTCTGCGAAATTTGCCGCTGATTTATTCCACCATCTGCTTGACCAACTATCCTTCCTCTAACAAAATCTGCCAATTCGAGAGAACCTTGAGTTCTAGGCATGTTGTAGCACAAGATAATTACTGTGCGGACCATTTTCATTTATAAAGTGCTCTGTGAACACAAATTAGTTAGCATAAATCAGTTAAATGACAAAAATTATGGGTCTATTTACTTGTGACCACTCAGTGTACATAGTTACTTCTATGAAATTCTTTAATGTTTATGTTGAATTACATGTGGATAAAAATTATTAGAAATATTAGTTTTTATATGTAGTAATTTCAGTCACATATGTTCAATAATTGTTCTTCATGACCAAAAGCATATTAATTTGAATTATGTTATAATGCAGAATGTAAAACAGCAACAAGAAGCATACAATCTTTGAGTAGTATGATTTTTACTTTTTCATATTATGAAATAGAAAAAAATTAAGAGCATTTTAAGTGGTTGTGGTAAACATATTTAGTGGGTTAACCCTTTAAAAGAATACTTGTATTTTTTTACACTGTTAGACAGAATATCAAATTCCAAGAAATGTAGGTGTTTATTACTTGCAAAGGTTTTTGAGGTTTTATTGTTCTCTTTTAGACAATGACAAAGACATCCAACCTCATTACAAAAAGTACATTCCCTGAAGATGAGCTTACAAGTAAAAAAAGACCAGATACGGTGAGAAGAAGATTGGCCATAACATTTTATATGTACAAGTGATTAAATATTCAAAAAACAGTAAATGTTTGATTGATTTTTAAAATATTTGAAAATTTCCCCTGCCTTCAAATTAAAAGTATGTAGCTTATAAATATAGATATTTTAGCTGCTTCATTTTTGCACACATATTTTCATTATATCATAGTTGAAGTGGATTTCAGTAATATGGCATCGTTTTAAGATGCTATGTTGTTATTAATTTCTGGACATTTTATTTTATCTAAAATCTCCCTTATCTTATCTTGTGTTGTGTGTATTTGTAATGTATTACAGTTACTTTGTCTTTATTTATATAACATTAAATGATTATGATTACTCATAGACTTTAGGTTTGCAACAAAAATGTCTTTATTTAGGTTTCATAGTTAATCAAAGATAAAGATCAACTTTGCAAGACAACTTAGAAGGTCTTCTACATCACTTTCAGAAAATGTCTAAATAAAAAATTGTAAAACTTGTAACAATTTGACAAATAATTATAAATATAGATTTAATTCTATATTAACTAAACCAGACTAACAGTACAGAGTTTAAAAGAGTACTGCAAAAATAACTATATAAAGTTTAATTTTTTTCTGCACACTGAATCCTATTACTGTTAATTTTTCAGGCAGCCACACAGTTTAAAAAGAGTTTATCTCAGCTAATGCAAATTCTTATGTCCAAAGAACCATGGTACATTCGGTGTATAAAACCAAATGATAACAAACAGTCAGGTAAGTTAACTCATCATATTTATTTAACAATCATGGCACATCTGCTGTATAAAACTATATTAAAACAGAAAGTTAGGTTAACTCAAGAGCCATGATACATCTTCTGTATCAAACTCAGTGATAAAGGACTATTATATATCCAGTGTATTAACAAACTGGCAAGTTAACACAGCACTTTAATCTAAAAATCATGACATGTCTGCTGTATCCAGTTGAATGAAAAAGAACCATGGTACATCCACTGTATTAATCAAAACAGTAATAGAAACTTACGTAATATGTACCTCTTTAATGCAAGAATCCTGGTACTTTTGTTGTGTCAAACTGAGATATATAACATGCACGTTAATCCATGAATTTTGCTGCACATTTTTTAGTAGTGAGCAATAATTCAGAAAATTTTGAATAAATCTAACCTCTACAACACAGAAACCTAATTTAGTATATGTTCATAATTTAATAAGATAAGTAAAAATCGTTAATTTAAAAAGGGGGGAATAGGGATCGTCAAAATAGTACAGAAACAAGTTGAATCAAAATGCAAAGATTATATCTTCAAGCCTACAACTACGGACTCTAAAAAAATGTAAACAAACAAGGCTGGAAATAGTTTCTACATTATTTTTGCAAGCTACAAATCCCTATTTTGACTCCACTAAAATTGATAAGTACTTTAGCCATGAAGTCAAAATAGGAACTTGTAGCTTGAGAAATTAATGTAGAAATAATGATATAATCTTTGCATTTTGATTCAACTTATTTCTGTACTTTTTTGACAATCCCTATTCCCCTTTTTAATTAAAATTTTAACTCATCTTGTTTCTTAAGTTTTTTGATGTCCACTTATGGAGAATAAATGTTAAGCTACATATGTGCATATGCTTTCAGTTGAATGTTACATGTTTACTGCTACATTGGCTTTTCTCCACCAAACCACCACACTGAAATTATTCAAAGTAAATAACAAATGTGCAACAAAGAATAAACACATGTAGTGGTATGCAACTAAAACAAACAAAACTGTCAAATTGTTCTCAAAGGACCCTCTTGAAGGCAAGTATTGTATCATTACAGATTTAATGACCAACTTCCATCAATGTCACAGTGTAATGTAAAAAAAGATGAGCAGCAAGAAAGCAATCTCATCAGAATGAAATAATGTGTCTTCTAAATAATACAACACAGATTAATGCACCCTTCAGTGACACAGCAGTATGCCTGTGGACTTACAATGCTAGAAACTGGATTTCGATACCAATGGTGAGCAGAGTACAGATAGCCAATTGTGTAGCTTTGTGCCTAACAACAAACAAAAAACACAGATTAATGCAATGTAAACAGATGTAGTAACATGTTTACCTAGTTAGGTCTACATGACACATATGTATGTTCTTCAATAGCCTGCTGTGCACAAGTGTTTGCTAGAATGATGCAACACAAATAATGCATGCAAAATAGACAAAAGCAACACACTTAGCGTAAATTGCTAATTATCAACAAATTTACAACCGCTACCTTAACATCAACTATTTAAAAATAGCAATAGCTATATGAAATAATGCTATATGCAATGGTAATAAATACTGAATACACACTCACAATTTCAACTAAGTATAACAAACAGTAGAGAGAATCACCACTGTTGTCTGAATAGGAAAATCTACTATGGTAATCATCCACTGTTAAAAACTTTCGGAAGTATGGTCACGGAAATCCATGTAGAGACAGCAAACTTGGGCAATGATGAATAATAGTGACTTGAGTAACAGTATACAATAGCAAAATCAGGAACCTTTCATGTGGTAGTTTCCAGTTAATCCACTAGAAAATGCACAAGTTCTAGTTTTTAACTAAAGTGCATGCTAGAAAAACACCAGATTTTTTGATGGTGGAAAGTAAAAGACTTAGAAAATTTCATAGCAAAATCAAGGAGATCAAATTAAGTTTAAAAGTACTATCTCAGTTTTTTTTTCAAAATTCCTCTGCAATCCCACACTACAGTAGATATCACTTGCGATCATTTAATTGTGGAGTCATACTACAGATATGTAGCTTGTTAATGAGTAGCACCCTGGTGGGCTTAATTGTTGGAGTTTCAATTAAAACTACTCGTTACACCAGATTTATTTATTGGAGGATTTGTCGTGACGAGTGGAGCCACAAGTCACTAACTAGAGGAAGTTTACAGTTAGACTAAAAAACTAGAGTCTTAGGCCAATTGTGAACACTTATAATAACTTTTGTTAAACATTAATTCATTTAACTAACTATTAATAACAGACAAAACCTCGTTTATAACGAACAACATAAAACAGCTTTTAACCCGACTAAATACTGTAGTATCTTCAGCGTACACTTTCACTAAAAACACTTAGATATACTTCAGCGTAATATCTCAGTATATACTTCCATTAAAAACGCTTAGATATATTTCAACATATCCTTAAACATAACATTTCACAAAACACTAGTATTAACTGACTGAGAGAGAATAGTGAAGTATACTTTCAAAGGTGTTGGAAATCGAATAACATTGGACACCTTCATGTTGTCAAGTCAACCTGCAGCACTTCAGAGGGATTTTCTGGAGAGCTCAGAGAACTATAGAGAACTCTTGGGAGAACTGACATGGGTTTATAAAGCAAATTTCTCTGTATTATTTCGAGCATCTAAATAGGACACAGCATCACCCACAAGTAGTCCTGTGCTCCTATTGGATGCTTTAGGGGAATCCCCGGGCTGAACCAATACCATAACCAAAACTCTCAAGTAATCGGTTACAGCTCGGTTGTGTTAGCCAGTCACCTGTTTACTTGTACTGCTACACCCACATGCTGTAAGTGATATCGCCTCAAAGTGCCGATATTGCCTGCTAAACCAAACTTTTCTGTAGCTTTCCTAGTTCTATAGGGTTGAGGTCAACCACTCATCAACCTGTCATAAGTTCTAGTACACTCAGCTTGTTTCTAGGCAATGCTTCTTACGTTGCTTAACCTTGTTTTTCTGGTTCATCCACGTGTCTTAATAGCTTACAAAAATACAGCTACTAAACTAACTTTATTCTTAAACTTTCTAAGTTAATAAAAACTCTTAAAAACGTCGAAGCAATTGTAAATTCCCCCATAAATAACCCAATTGCTTCACTTGAGAAAACTGTCAGCAGTAAATCTCCAGCCTTGTTTGCTTCCTTTTTTTGTAATCCCTATTTGTAGATTTTCAATTCTCACTTTTTAATTATCTTGTATGTTGGCTTTGTTAATGCATAGCATTGGATAAATATATGCCTAGAATAAAACACAACCTTCAAAGCGTGTATAACATTTTACCAGTACAAAAGTTGCATTTTGAAATAAGACAAATATGTCTGAAACATTGCTTTGAATAAAGTTGTGTCTTTTTAAGTAATTATTTACTAAGCCAAGTGACTTCATGCCTGATGTTTCCTGTAAATATGTGTAGAGTACAAAAGCAGCCACTTATAACTTCAGATCTATTATGCATTTATAACCACATACATCAACTTTCAATGAAAAATAATCAACTTTTAAATAGATCATGGACACTTGCAGCATTTCATGTAGTATATCTGGTTAGGTTTTTGTGCAGGTTATCTAGCCAATTTTGCTGTAGGATTGTGAAATAATAATAATATGAACAAATGGGCAAATTTTGATTCTATTCTAACTATCATGAAATCACTTATTCTGCTTATTATCGATGTTTTGGTGGTCTTAACTATTTAAAAAGAAAGTTTTGAATGTTTTTCAAGAATAAGTCTGCTTTTTTAAGATAGTTTTTGCCCAAATGTTTTATTAGAGTTTTGAGCAAATTACTGTGTGATCCCAATTATGAACCACTATCATGGTTCATGATTTTCTCTGGGGTAGTGTAAAATCTTAGTATTAAGAAAAGTCTATTTAAAATCTCAACATATAAGGCAACTTATTACTCACCCTAAGTTTAATTTATTTGCTTTTTTGTGTGTTCCTGAAGGTGATTCAAACCCTCTGAGTATTAACATGTAAAATTTCCTAAAATCTCAACTGGTAATAAATGTTAAAATGCAAGTTTAGTTGAGTGAATGTCATTTATTTTTTACCAAGAGGATGGAGTATAGGCCATTTTATTTTTAAGTTTGTTACACACCTAATAAACATTTTTTAATGTTGTAGTTCAGGGTCTCTAATATTTTTGAACAAACCAATAATCTGAACTTAATCTTTTGAAAATGTCTTTGTTTTTGAGATAGTGTTATGTGTAGTTCTTGTTTCTTTTCTGATTAAAGTACTGGACATTATTTAGGTTTTGCTTCTAAAATGTAAATGCTTGAAATTTGCAGCTGTGTTTGATGACACAATTGTGGGACATCAAGTGAAATATCTTGGTCTCATGGAAAACCTGCGAGTTCGGAGGGCAGGATTTGCATACAGACGCCCTTATGAAGTTTTCCTTAAAAGATACAAGTGCCTCTGTCCTGGTACTTGGCCAAATTATCAGGGCAGTGCTAAAGATGGAGTGGAGAAGCTAGTAAACCACTTGGGTTATCGACCAGATGATTATAGGATGGGAAAGTGAGTCATAAAATCTTCAACATTATCACATTCATGTAGAGTCATTCAGTTAGTAATTGTCTTTAAGACTGAATATTCAAGAATATTACATTTTAGCAGTACCCTTTCTACTGGAAGAGAAGCTTGTCATTCAATAACACAGCTCCTCAGACAAGTTGGGCTACAAAATACAAAGTCTTAGTTGAAACACTAATTATATTAGTTGTTTATGCAGTAATGTGCAACAGATAAAATAATTATTTCAAGTGCTATTAAAAATAGTTGCTTTACAGTGGCATTTTTATGATTTTCTATTGGAGGAAGAGCAGAAGGGGAACAAAGAGTTAGTTTGGGAGGCAGAAGGGGAAGTCTATGTTATTAAATACAAAATAAATAGACAGTTTTATCTTTAAGAAGTGCCTGTTTATTCTTTTTAATTATCGAAAAAGGTGAAATTATCTCAGGCTCACTTTGCACTGCTTCGTGGTGGTCTGATGCTATTTCAAACACTACATATTATAACTGAATATGATACTACATCAGCTAAGGCATTCTATATTGTGAGACTTAGTATCATATTTATGTTCAGTCATTCAGTTAGTAAATGTTTTAAAGTAAGATACCAAGACTTCAAGACTATCACATTTATTTACACTACTGATTGAAGGTGAGTTTTACATATTGTGGAATTTGTGTTACTGTGTTTTACAGAAATATCATTTGATACACAAAGTCTTTACCTTTCATAATATTGTGATATATTTATTAAATAGATCAGAGAGTGGTTCTTTAAGGGATTAGTGTTATTTCTAATAATGATTACATGCCTGTTTATAAAGAGAGAAAGAAGTTGGATAAGTGTTTGAAAAACATGCTTAAAAAAGGGCTATTGCCAATATTTTTTCAGAACTAAACTTTTTATTCGTCTTCCACGAACCCTCTTTAAAACGGAAGATGATTTCCAGCATAAGAAGCATGACTTGGGTAAGTATGTTTTAATATCTAGTATTGTTATGAAATGTATTTAATTTCAAGTGTTTTCTAAATGAAATACATAGTGTTCAGTTAATTACAAAAAAAAAGAGCTTCAGTGACTTTTTTATTCAGGATTTATTGTACCAATGTTTCATCCTTTTTTTTCTTGGTGAGGTCTCTAGGCTGATTGTTACACAATAAGAAGAAAAAAGGTGTCACTTTTAATGTATTTAGGTAATATTGATCAAACAGAATTAAAACTTATTGTCAACTATGGAACTCTACACCAGAGCCTTAAATAAGTGTCTGTGCATTGAGCAATGTTGACATCTACAGATGTTCATTTTACAATTTCCCACCAAATTTCTTGTACATGTTTTTACAGTTGAGAATAAACAAGTTTTACTATATTCAGAATTTAATTTGATAACATATAACAGTACTTTACCTGGCATTGTAATAATGATTAGATGATAATAATAAGAGTAAAAGGATTTATGCAATAATTTTTTTTTTTTATTTTTGCTGTAGTTTAACATAAGCACAAAAATAACTACTAAGTCAAAATTGTGTGGTTATTATAATACAAAATAACACATATTCATATGGAAATGTGTTTATATTGTTGTAGGCTATGAAATGTGAGTTAGGCTAGAAGAGCTGATGATAATTTGTGGGTGTGTTACTGTGTTGACTGATTATTGTATCGATTAAGTTTGACTAATCAATTTGTTTGTTACTTTAAGCAGTTTAGTTTTGTGACTACTGAGTCCATTTGGATGAAGTAATAATAGATATGAAAAAGTGCTGTACATAAGAGAGGAGTTAGTAAGTGATATTGTTGTATTAATGTATACTGTAACTTTAGGCCTATCAGTAAATATTAGTTAAGATAATTTGTAGAACTGTCAGTTGAAGAAATAAAATGTTTTTGCTATTATGAAATGGGCTGGATTTTGCATTGTTCTTTTTACCAAGTCATCCAGAAGAACCCACCCAACAATAGATACTATTACAACAATATTAAGAACTATAAATAAAGTAAGATTAGACTCATTTTCAGTTGAGTTTTTAAAAATCATAAACACACCAAGTGTTGTGATTGAAAAATGAAGTTAAGTTAGAAGTATGATATGATTAACATTGGTGTTATCCAGGATCCCAAAGGCAAAACCTAAAATGGGTGTCTTCAGATCAGTAAAATTCTTCTGCCACACCCATCTACTTACTATACACTGCTCAAGCATAGCAAAGAAATTGAGAGAATATTTTAGTTGCCACACTCATTGCGACATGCAGATCATTTTTATTATAAAAAAATTTGGGGCCCCTAAAATCATAGAACCTTGTGTATTGCCCATTTTTTGTGCTTGATCTACTGTAAACTTTTTAGCATATACTATGTTATTATATCTTCCTTTTTTTTATAATAACCATGTTTAAGCTCCATTAATTTTGGATCATGAAATATAATGGTTCAACTTCATTATGAATAGCTACAATAATCCAGGCCAAGTTCAGATGCTATAGTCAGAAAAAGAAGTTTCTACAGATGAAAACAGCAGGTAAAGAAAGCTATTTTTCAACAATAAAAGGGTAAAAGTATGAGATTTTAATGAGTTGTCCTGTGTTTTTGATTTGGTTAGGACATATTCAGGAAAATAAGATTTATAAGTTTGATTCTTCAGAATCAAACTTAAGTAGAAAATATATTTTGAAGTGACTGTAAGCCTTCAAAATGTGATAAAGTTCATGAACGTCAGGTATAGATGTTTACCTAACAGACCATAAAATATGATGCTGATATTAAAATCACTATAAGTATATTCACTGTAGCTACTCTTATTTGTATAGCTTTCTAACAGTTAAAAGCTAAGAGAATTGTTTTAATAAGATCAAATATTGTAATCGATTTAAATTATTCTGTTACATCAGTAACATATCTAAAAGCAAATTTTAATATTAACTTTATGTGTGTATAAATTTGGGTTTTCAACTTCTTTATGAATGCCACATGGTTTCACATACAGTACTAGTGTTGCCCTCATGGGACAAGAAAATACGTTTTATTTTATTAAGTTCATTTAGTGGTCTATTATCAAATGAATATTTTTCAGCAACTCTCATAGCATGCTATTGGCGAAGATATTCAGCCAAGAAGTTACTTGAGAAAAGGAGATGGGCAGTTAAGGTGATTCGCAGGTAGGATAAATCATAGTTGATTATCTAGCTGGTTAAGTTTGAGTTCAGAATTGTGAGTAATGCCTCAGAAATGACAGATTTATACAGAAACTTTGATCATTTATTATTCCACTTCTTAGCTCAACATTAACCAACTGACTAGCAAGCTCTTACTGAAAAATGTAAGATGTTATTTTGAAGAAATAATACAAGCATGTAATTTGTCCTGCAAAGAAATTAGACCTCATTGTGCCTTAACTTTTCACCATTTAATTTTTAAAGTTACTATTTTTCAACAATTACTCTAACTTACATAAAAATGTTTTGAATTTCTCAGATTGAACAATAGATCTTTAGCATTAACTTGAATCCATTTTCTGTAGGAAACTGAAATTCTCATAAACTCAATGAAGCTAATTTTAACAAAATATTTTACCTTTGAAAACTAACTTTATTGATCCTGAGGTATGATGCAAGTTTTTTTTATTTCTCAAAATTATATATATTTTTTTCTTTTCAAAATATGACTGTTTGGATCTTAAGCAGTTTTTAGAATCTGTATTAATAAATTATTTTTAAATTTTTTAAACATTTTTCAACAATTATTCTAACTTACATAAAAATATTCTAAATTTCTCAAATTGAGTTGTAAGTTTAAAAAATATAAATAAACATTGTGAGATAATGAATTCTAAATTTATTTTGTTATGGTTTTTGTTTACCATTCATTTTTTGTTCCCTCTATCATTTAGTTAGATTATGAATTTTTATTTACATTAAAGTGCCAACTCACTTTCTGTCTAGAGCACATCGATTTTGAGTATGTATGTATTATAAAACTGACACAAACTTCCCCTAGCAGTGACATACAGATATTAATGTTGTGAGAGATTTATGATAAGAGCTAGTCACATGAGATGTAATTTGTGGTGTAACCGCTAAATAAAAAACCTTCCTTGATCTTGAAAACAAGTTAGTTCTCATTATGTAGTTAGAAATAATTATTGCTAATTAATGCTTGATGCTGTTCTTAATTTTGGAAAGTGGTTTAATTTTGCAACATGTTATTCTCTGGTGAATTAGGTATTTTATTCTTTTCCTTCTTTTTTCCCTATTCCTTTGATATTTATTGAAATTAATCACATTAATATTTATGTAGTATTGTTTATTAACATTTTTACCTAGTTCTAGGCACAGGTTTACTAGTTGTTTTTATAAGGGAACGAATATGTGTTCTAGTTGTTTGAAAGTTGTCGTTTTTTATTTCTTTTGTTATATTTGATAAATTCTTTTTGTTTGACCCTAGTTGTAGGGTGTTTTGTTTAGACCATTAAAACAAAAAGTATAATATTACATTAAAATATCAAATGAGAAACAAATATGCACTAGACTAAGCAAAACAAACTGTAAAATAAAGAAAAAAAATAGAAACCTAGCTTTTGGTGCAGAAACATTCTCAAGGAAAGAAGACTACACCAACATACTGAATTTAAGTAAGAATTATTAATAACAAAAGATTAATTTTCCTCAACTATGTACTTTATAGGTAGCTGAAAAACATAAACAGCTTATTAAAAATAATTTAAACCTGCTAATGGCGAACAGTTTTTGAACATAATCTTTGATAAATTATATCTACCTAGTTATGATTATTCTGTAAATCTGGTTGATAGATTATTTTCATTCAAAATTATCACAAAGAGAAATAAATGCTCACATCCTCATAGTTTTCTCTTTAATGTCACATTTGTAAGTATGTATGCTTGCAGCACATATATCACAACTGGCCTGATGAGTCCTGTTAATGTGCAAAGACCTTGTTGGCACTGGATGTTGCTGGTATAGTGTGGTTGACATATTGTCATACATTTTTCTTTACTTTCACTCACAAGTTCTTTGATTTCATCTAAACACAAATTAAATAACTTATATGGATTAGCCTTGAATATTGAAACTTTTAATTCTATGTATATTTTATTTTGTGCTTTTCCCTGCTTATACTTTTAACATTGATGAAACATGATATTGTACAGGAATTTTTATTAAGGAACATATAATTTACAATAAATATAATAAGCCTTTAAGTGCACATTCTAACTTTTATGGAGAACACTATCTACAATAATATTTCTTTGTTGTTGTTTTACAATCTGGTTTTAAGAGGTTGGTACCCAAATAATTAGCAGAAAGGCTTCTATATCTTTTCATGCTATAGAACAGTGCTTCTCAACTGGGTGAATGGTTCACCTAGGGGTTTTGTTTATTTTGTGTTGTATTCATTCTAGTTGAAGTTTGATGTATATTTAAGTCATAATAAAGAATTTTGCATCTTAATTCAGTACTTTTTGTCTTTTTTCAAACTGGGTGAGTGAACTTTTGTGAAAAACTTATAGGGGTGAATGATATTGGAAAAGGTTAACAAGCACTGCTGTAGAACACTGTGCTTAAATGCTCATTCTTGCTTTCTCACTCCCTTTTCAGCTTATGGCAGATAGTGCCTTCATGCATGTGAGTTTTTACATTCACACAGTGTAATCCCTCTTTTAACTCATTTAACATATTGGTTTTATTTTCCTTTTACCAAAAGCTAAGTTTTGAAGGTTTTTTTTTCTTCTGTTATGTTTATCTTGCTTTGCTAATGGATGTTTATCTCTGACTTTTTGCTATTATATAATTTTATCTTTTATTTTTCTAAACTTTTGATGTAAGTCATAAGTGATGACCCAAATTTCAGGAATTTTAACCTATACTTTTAGGTAAGTTATTTTAATTGTTTATTTATTTTGTGTTATGTATATTTTTCTTCCTTTAAACTTTAGTAATGAGTTTCTTTTCAATTTAGATTTTAACCTTTTAGAAAAAAATTACATATTTTAAAAAATTTCATAATTAAGTATAAACATCAAATTTGAAAATGCTTGTGGCAGCAATGAACAGAATACTAGTACAATAGTAATAGAAAAAATAGTTTGGCTTGTCAACTCAAATTCTAAAGTAATTGAATAGGCCTAAGTGGACTTTTGAGAAGAAGAAGAGACTTATATATATATAGTGTCTATGATATTCCTATAATCTTTATAGTGTGAAGAATTTGTTGTACATACGTTTAACTTGTTCCAAATATATATATATTATTTTGAAAACAAGTGAAGTGTGTAATGTTTGTTTATCATTGAATTTATCGCTAACAAGTCACAGACACCTACTGTAGAAGAATCCTAAGCCCAACAACAACCTAATATATATTTCTACTATTAAGAAATATAAGTAAAAGCCTTTTATTTTGACAGTTGGCAAAAGACTTATATTTTTGAATTCTGACAGTTCTGTAATGTACTTAATGTTCTGTTACTTTATAGATAACTTCATATTTTTCATGTTATTGTAAAATTCACTATAGAACATGTGACTGAAAGTAGCCAACTTAATTTCCTTGATAATTTCTTAGATTTGTCTCACAAGAGACTTGAAGGAACTTTGTACGAAAAAAACTTAATGTAAAAATATGTTTGTACACTTTACTTCACAACATGCAATTCTCTCATTGAAATAGTGTCAATTACTGAAAAAGTCGTAAAGGTTATTCATAATAGCAGTTTTAAAGAGGCAAAAGGTATTGGACTTACTGATTTATGACATAAACTTAATTTAACTGAATGATTACCCCAGTGAGAAAAGAAAAAAATAATAGTATTAACCACTACAATGACACATATTCTGTTGACTTGAAATATCCTCTGTATCATTAAGTGACAGACTTAAAAGTGACCCACAAATTATTGTACAATGATCTGGATTACCTATCACACAAAAAACTAGGAAAATGCTCAAACAAGAGTTTGTAAGATATGTGATCTTACCTAATTAATAAATGCAAGAAAAAGAACTGTCTTATTAAAGATGCAAGTGCTGTGATATGTAATATAATTTATAAAATAACATGCATTAATTTTAATGAGATATACATTTGTGAAACATATATGTTTTAGACTTTGCTTGAATCAATATAACAAAAAATCAGACCATTACTTTGCAAACATAGTGTCCCTGCATCTGGTTGTCCTTTAAAGGTAAACATATTGCCAGAGAATTCTTAGATTAAAAATTTAAGAAAGCAGTATTCATTTTAAAATACAAACCAAGAATTAACAGACTATGGATGGACATTAAGATGTAATTAGATTTTGATAAGCCAGTTTCTGAACTACCTTATTTTTATTATTGAAAGTTTCCAATTTATAGTTTGTTTATTGTTTTATATGCACAAGTTTGTTATTTAGCTTTATTTTTAAAGTTTATATTCTTAGCGTCATTATAGTAGTATATCACTTCCAGTGATGTTGCATAAGTGAAACATTGGTCAAAGGAATAAATTTTTTTTAAGTTAGTGGTTATTCTTGTAAAGTCAATTACATCTAAGTTACTCCACCGTACACTTCAGTGTTTTTAAAGAATATAACATGTTTGTAATGCAGAGTATAGAATTCAAACAAAATTAAGTACTACTTTGTTGAATGTGTAGCATTAACCATGGTATCATTTAGTCTGTAAAATAATCAAGAAGTCTTAAGGCACTGACACAGTAATTTAATTCCTCTTGCATGTGCCTTTTGTTTATTGTTTTCATTTATACAATTTTTAAAAGTCAACAAAAGGATCATTTCTCAGTCATAAAGAAATGTGTTTATTATTTGTTTTACAATCTTTTCTTTTCTGTGATTTAGCTTCATCAGAGGCTTTATTACAAGAAATGAAGCAGAAAATGAAGACAATAAGCGTGTAAGTGAAAAAAATGTAATTGTGAAGATGAATACAGATTAAGAAAGATGTACATTTTCTTTCTTTGCTACAAAAATTGGACTTTTCTTTTTTACAAATTATAAAACTGGGAGTGGTAAATCATGAAAAAAAACTAGATAACTTAATCATTAGTGAGAGATCATGAAGTTGTTTGAACTTGCTTTGAAGCTATTGTCATTGATCTATTATGTGAAGTGTCAATAAGGTAAATGGATATATAATTAAGCCAAGTTGTCTTATATGAGATGTGTTATGTAGCTAGTATGATACTTTATCAGTAATAAAGGGAAAATCTTGCCTTACAAATATTTTGACATTCTTTGAAAAGGTTATTGCTTCTGTAGATGAGGGTAAAGGTGTAGATTTGGTGTATCTAGATTTTCAGAAAGCATTTGACAAGGTGGCACATAAAAGGTTTGTAAAAAAATATATTTCTATAGGTGTGGGGCATAAGTTAGCAAATTGGATAAATGAGTGGCTGGATGGAAGAAGGCAGAGGGTTGTTATAAATGGAGTTCAGTCAAACTGGATTAATGTTACAATTGGGGTACCTCAGGGCTCAGTCTTAGGACCTTTGCTCTTTTTGATTTACATCAATGACATAGATGAAGGAATGGTTAATAAGTTACTTAAATTTGTAGATGATATTAAGGACTTGTGTGTTGCTAGCTGTGAAGAGGATGCTGCAGATTTACAAAAAGATTTAGATCATTTAGTGAGTTGGGCAAATAAATGGCAAATGGGTTTTAATTATAATAACTGCAAGATAATGCATGTGGGTTATCATAATTTGAAGCTTATTCTCATCCAAATTATACTTTTAATTAACACTATCATGAAAGAAATGGATCTTGGTGTAATGGTTGATCAGCTTAAACCATCCAAGCAGTGTGCTGTTGCTAGTGCTAGGGCAAATAATAGGATTTTAAGTTTTATCTACAGAAATATTGAATACAAGTCTAAAGAGGTTATACTTTCATTGTATAGGTCACTGGTTAGACCACATTTGGAGTATTATGTTTAGTTCTGGGCTCCTTACCTCAGGAAGAACACTGAATTGTTGGAAAAGGTTCAGAGGAGGGTTACTAGAATGGTTAGAGGGGATCTGATTGGGGTGTTTAAGATTGTAAAGGGAATTGATAGCATTGATGCATCATCTTTTTTCATACTTAAAAGTGAGAATAGTAGGACTAGGGGACACAAATATAAATTTTGGCAGGGTAGGAGTCATCTTCAGCTAAAAATGTTTCATTTTTCTAACAAGGTGTTTTGCCTTCGGATGTTGTAGAGGCAGTAAATTTAAGTGAGTTTAAGAAAAAGCTTGATAAGTATAAGAATGATAAGGGCTGGATTTAAGATTTTTTAAAATTTATTTATTTAATAGTTTTTAGTTTAGAGGATGGGACAGTCGAGATGGACTAATATATCCCTTGTTGTCCCAAAACATTATGTTATGTTATGACCACTGACCATTTCAGCAAGCTTGTGTATATGGCTTGAAATAATTAGAATGACTTATTTTTCCATGAAACTTTATGTATATTCTGTTCAACAAAAAGGAAATGTACATCTAGATTAACACTGTAATTTGTTTATACTTGTATCATCACATAGTTTTCTTCTGTACTTTTTAAATCTCTCTATATATACTACAAAACTATACATCACTTATGGTGTATTTGAGATGTTTTGACAAGTAGATATTCTTCCTGTGATAAGTACTATGTAACCCTCTTTTTTTCATGTATGATGGTCCTTATCTTGTTGATATAGTCACTAATTAAGATTTTGTTGTTGTTGTCAGGGGGACTTGATTCTAGATTGTAAGAACTCGCTGGTAGAAGTGATTGTAAAAATCGTCATGGCTAGCAAAAACAAGTCTTTAGTAAAGGTAGAGGAATCAGGGTGGTAAGTTGAAAATTTTTTTACATTAACTTTGTTTGTAGCTATTAAGGCTAACTGCATTATTCATTGTACTTTTTTAGTATAGCTAAAAATGAAGATTCGTACCTTAGACATAGATATACTTCCTGAGATAAGTGCCCTAATTATATTATAAGAAAGCATTATACATATTGGAATCTTACAAGAGGCCACTTAGATAAAATCAAATGTTACAAATAATATGCTGTTTTTGGGAACTTGTCTCAGACATGAGCAGTTTGGCCATTTATACATGAGAAACTATTCCTAGCAAAGTAATTTCCATTTTATAAACTTTTCTTGATAATATTTTTAAACTGAAGCAAAATATGTATATATATTGAGTGGAATCATAGATATAAAGTTGTAGTGATCTTGTTTAACACCCTGTATGAAAAAGTCAGCAACAATAGTCTCAACTAGTTCCATAACAACAATAGCACATAAATTCTGGGAAAATATAAAGACAAATTACACATGACAACTCGTAATTACTGGTCAAGGGACATCCATTTGCTGAGTGTGGAATCCAATTAGGCACCAGTAGATTAGAATCTACATGGTACTGCCTGCAAAAGCAATAGTCACAAATTCTATTATGCCTTTCTACCTCACTTCTTAACTTGGCAGTTAAGATTTTGCAGATCACATAAATTGATATCACATATTCACAATTATTAACATAGCATTATGCATAAGCCAATCACCAATAAACAGATACAACCAATATCATGTTACATCATACACTGTAGTTCAGTTTTCAAGCTTAACTAGGATGATTGCACCAAATATAAGAAGGAAATTTTATATTATTAAAAAAGGTGTATGTAGTGTTAAGTAATATGTATGTAATGATGTTTTAATATATGTAATTATTATGTACCAATGGACACCTGCTTCAGAAGGAAGAAATAATGATAATGTAATTTTTAACAAGTTTGTTTAATATTTTATTAATCTTTTAGTTTTGCTAATTAATTTGCATTACTTATGATCTTGAAATTAGTCTATGTGATAATGTTTGTTAAAGATTACCTTTTTTGAAATTTTGTAGCATACCTCACTACTTAATAAGTGGCAAGCAAGGAATTATAAACTTCTCTACTGGAATGCAACCTGCAATTTCTAAAGGAAAAGATGGACATCTCACAGTGGTGAGCATTAAGACACAAAAGCTGAACTAAAATTTGATTTGTTATTTATTTTTTTATAGAATGAAAAATTAATTTCCTTTTTACTGCTACCCTAAGAAATTTTTACTCCCAATTTCAAATTTATTGATTTTTTTTTCTATTTTGAATTTTTTTTTAGGAAAGGAAATCATTTTGTGTTTTGTTAGTAATATCTTAGACAATAAACAATGAGCTTGCTCATAATATTCAGTTTAAACACTTTTTCCTTTGGGGAAATAGTAACTATTTAGTAATTAGCATATAAAATCCTTTAAGATGCTTTAGTTATCAGAGCTAGAACATTGATAAAGTTAAAACAAGTTTTCTTGAAATATCCAATGTCAATTGGAAATTTTTTCCATATAAAAAAAAAAACGACATGTAACTTGACTTTTGTTTCTTCTTTTCCATGAACTCAACTCCCAATTACAAACATTTAAAATCAGAATTTTAGTATTCTGAGTGAAACTCTGAAAAACACAAAGACCATAGCTAAAGTGTTGAAGCTAAAAAAATTGAAATTATATAAAGTTGCATGAACTTTTGTTTATCATTAGGAAATAACTTTTTCTGTTAGTCTTTGTGTTTAGCTAATCATTGTTTGTATGTTATTTGTTTGGAAAGATGGTTTGCATAAGATAAGATTCACTATTGCAAATTGGGACTTTTTGTTTTATATCAAGGGTTTTCTGTAATTTCTTACTTTGAAGTTAACATGAAACATCTGAGTTAATGCTGATAAAATTAGTTAATTTAAACTGTGATAGAAAACAAAATTATACTTATATTGTTAGAAATATATAAATATACCTATTTCAAAAGAACACTTGCATCAGGAGTTCTGTACTACATTAGGTGCCTTTCTTTCTTCCTCTTTCTTTTATAGATTGCTGTGTCTCCATAAGTTCATTGCAGACTCATTAACATTGAAAGAAGAAAGCTTATTGCAAAACTCTAGCAAGAGAACTCTAAAGTTTCCTAAGGATTTTGTATAATTTTTCTAGTAAAATAACAGCTGTTACTTTTTGTCTAACATGCCTTATGTATGATAGATGTATCATGCAATTAGTAATCATCTAGAACATAACTCACAGTATGGTGCTACTGTTCAGTACTTGTTATTTAACTGTTTTTTTAATGAATTATTTTGAAATTAAAACTAAAGTTTAAAGATTTGTAATGGTTGAAATTAATATTCTTATTAATGAAGTACTATATGAATAATTTGGCCCATAATAGTTTCTTCTCTTAAAAAACAGTGTGTTTATTTTCACTATTTAGAGAAGCACTAATAATTAATTAAAAAAAAACGATTTTTGTTGTCTTAAGAAAAGCACCAGATCCAAAACAATTACTAACCTGCACTGAAACTTGAGAGCTCTAATTTGTATGCACAAAAAATGTTGGATTTTTAAGTATTTTCTCTTGATCAATATCGAAAACTAAAAAAATATCTTATTTATATTTCCTACTTAAAATTTTCTTTAAATATCACCTTGTATTTCTCCTCTATACTTTAAAAAGCGTTATGGTTTTTCTTGTATTAAAAGTATATATGTATTTAATTATGATGAATGTATATACTTGGTTTTATTGTAACAAAATTATGTCAAGAAATTCATATTTCTTATTAAAGTATTCAGACTTCAATAAGCGTGGCTTTATTGACAAGATTATAGTTGGGTTGATTGGCTTACCAGATTTTAACAAAATTGATCTGCTTTTCAAATTACAGCATTGTTAATGTGATCTAACAAACTGTATCATTGTTGGTCTGTTCTACCATGTTGTAGTATTGATGGTCAGAACTACCATACTTTGATAAACTTGTTCTGATCATTTATGCTTTAGTAGACTTGGTCTGACTTGATTAACCAAATTTTAGACATAGCTGGTCTGACTTACCAGGTTTTTTATAGAATAGATTGAACTTATCAGAACCTGTATGTTTTAATTAATAGTATGCCATACTTTTGTGATATGTATTTAACTTAACAAGTGTTTATCTACCTTTACAAAACCTGGAAGTATTTGTTATTCACCAGTGATACAAAGAATGATTAAAATCACATTTATTTTTTTCATTTACAATAAACTAATTGCTTTCACTATGAAACACAAAATGAATGAGAACATCAAAAAGTGCTTTTTCAAGCAAGTAATTGTTAATTCAAGGGTTGTTAAGGTTTAAAAAAACACTTCTAAAAATTCGATTGGAGTATTGTTGTTGTACTGTATTTAAATTTCCTTCTCACAGACTTTAGTTTTTGTTACGATTAATTTAATGTGTAATGTTTTTTTTTTTTTTGATAATCTAAATAATAGTAATTCATACCTTTTAGGGCTAACCACAGTTATAGAGACTGAGAAACTTGTTTATTTTCTTCATAACATTAATATTTTTCTTGCACACTATTGTTATGAGTGGTTCATTTTTACAGGACTGGAATTATGCATAAAAATTTTTTTTAAAAATTATGAGGATGATGAAAAGTGTGTATAGAAACATACACCTTCAAAAACTTTTTATTTCAAGCACATAACATGTATAAAAAAATTCTGACGAAGATAAAATCTTCAGTTTAGTACTAATAAACTGTTATATTTTTTTATATTGACAAAAATGTTTTATGATAATTATATATCAGAAGCCCCCTGGTGACTTAGCAGCAAGCCTGAAGGCTTATAACATTAACAATTAGTTTTCAGTACCTAATGTTCACAGAGTACAGATAGTCTTTTGAGTAGCTTTGTGTGTAACAACAAACAAATAATACATCGAAAGGCTACTCAGCATACATTTTTTAATTCTTTTTTGATATTCATTGTACTTAAGGAGGTATTTCGATTTAAAGATTTATACCTACAAAATACAGAAGATAAATGTAGAGAGAAGCATATTATCATCATTTTTGTTTATTAGAAAGCAATCATTGTTCAGATTTTACCTAATTAAAGTTGTTTGTTAATGAAAATATATATTATTATTATGTAGTAGTGCTGTATAAGTTAATTAAATTTAATTTTCTTCATTTAGAAGAACTAATTTAATTTAAAAATAATTCAAAGCATTTATTTTTGTTACAGACGTTTTATCCATGGTGCACTTTCATTTGTTGTATTTTAAAAATAGTGTTTAATTGTGATCAAAAGAATTTTGAACTAAGTAAAGTAATCAGCAGGCATGTGCCAAAAATAAGTTACATCCATAAAATCCCAGAATAGGAAAATTGAGGTGTTGATTTTATTCTAGTATTAATGTATTTGATTTTTTTATTGTTTTTAAAAGCCAAGGTCACATTTATGATTTTAATAACTTTTATAATTTTTTATTAGAAGATATTTTATGAGTATTAGCATTTCAATGTTTTTATGCTTTTAGAAAGATGTTGAAATCATGTTACCTAATTTTGCATCTTTTGTAACATGTATAGGTTGTTGTTGCAAAATAAAATTCATTTTCACTTATAAAGCCCAATGTTTTTTGTGATATCCGAACACAATCAAATACCTAATATCAAAAACAGAATAAAACTCATCCCGAGATTCGTTATAAACTAATCATTCTTGCTTATTTAAAAAAAAAAAAAGATTCAGTGTTGCCCTCTATGTGCAAAACAATTTTTTACACATTCCACAAGCCTTTTATCTCCATTCCATTGGAATTGACTGATTCCAATGCATGTCTCATGCATCAACCCTCCATCATAAGAGCGTGACATACTCTCATGACACATGTGACTCCCTTTATTTAATTCAACCGCACTGTAACTTCGAGTTCTGGCAGAAGATGGAAGCACTGGTTTTCAGTGGAGAGGAAGTAAGTACCTATTGGAAATACATTTTCAGTATAGGAAAATTATAACTTCCGATATGGTACATAACCTCTTTTCACATAAATAGCTAGAATCCCACATTGAATAGGGACCAGTGCAAGGGAAGAAATAATTATCATTCAAAAGTGTCCAAAGGAGACAGATTCAAAGATCTGATGTGGGGGACTGCACAACTTCTGAACTAGGAAAACAGAGGAGCACATTCAAGTGGGAGAGAAATAAAGTCGGATAGTGATCCAAACCATATAATATTTATGCAACTCTATCCCAGAAAATTTAAATGTGGGTAAAATTAAAAGGATATGTCCTAGGTGTAAAGTAGTGAAGGCATAATGGACTGTACATGGCAAGTCAACTACATCCAAAACCCATGCGGGGGTAGGATGAGGATCATACAATTGGTAAGTGAACTTTAATCCAAAACCCAACCCCCAGGTACTGATATCCATGTGGGAGTAGGAAAAAGATCATACCACTGGCAAGTCAACTACAATCCAAAACCCAGGCTACCGGGAACTGACATTCATGTGGAGGGTAGGAAAGAGTATTATACTGGTGTCAAGTCAACTACAATCCAAAACCCAGCCACCAGGTACTACCATCCATGTGGGGGTAGAAAAAAGTATCATACCACTGGCAAGTCAATAACAATTCAAAACCCAGGCCACCGGGAACTGCCATCCAGGTGGGGGTAGGAAGAAGGATCATATCATTTCCACCTTAAGTTCATAAGGCCAGAGGGTAGCAAGAACCCCCAGACCCATGAATGGGGCACATGTTAATATAAGAAATTGATAGATTGATCCGGGAACCCAACATCTGGTATCAAAAAGATGTCTGCATAATGTAAACCATCTCCCTCAAAAGTGAAATTGACCAGAACTGCCCCGAGCAAAGTAACATCCTCAAAATAATAAGCATCGAGGGATAGCGGAAGGGGAAGAACATTGATAATCTACAAGTACCTCTACCGTGACCCACAACACAGATGGAGTAACAAGAGTATAACTGAGGGAGGAATAGAGATATCTACAATACATGTGTGAGGACTTATGTTGATTGGTTCAACTCTAAATCCAAAACCCAACCACTGGGAACCAACATCCATGTGGGGGTAGGATGATGGATCCCAATCGAAGGGATGAACTGCAATTTTGATGGCTCACTCCTATTTATATTTGTTTCATAATGGAAGATACCACGTCATCTACACCAGAAAAACACCATCGCCCTACTCTCAACTGAATGGTTGTATAATAATTTCTATATTTTGTTTGTATTTCATTAACCCCTTCTGGAGGATGCCTCTATAATCCACAACCCCAGCAGCTTGGAACTGGAAAGTGGTAAGGACTCTCAAACTCCAGTAGAAGAAAAGAGTGGGGAACGTGGTGGAGAGTCCGGGGTAACAACAACACCTGAGACAGTGCAATAGGTGACCACGAAATGCTATTTTTAAATCCAGACCATACCGATTTATTTAATACAAAGCAAGGCTGGGATGGGCAACTATCTCCTTCTGCTTTACCCATGTAGTCCATGAGTGAGTACAGTCCTGGACGGGCAAATTTTTTTTTAAATTCCACTGCGAGGATAAACCTACAAGCGATCTTGTGGAACACCCCATCTCTGTAGTGTGTGTTGCATGGCCATGGAAATATAAGTAAGTTGACATGGCCGTGTAGTGCAGATTTGATTTGTTAAAGAATACCTGGTCAGGCATCACTTGCCACAAAGTGGGATCAAAACATTTAGCAATAATAAAAGGGAAGAATAAGAAAAATTTAACTTACCCAGTCAAAGTCTCATTGAATTCTGAAGAATGGCTACAGGCAGAAGACAATAGCTCGAAGAGGAATAATCTGCAATCCGATGCAAATAGTGAGAGACAAACGGATTATGGGTAGTCCACATGCCCGATTGAAGAAGTACCTCCAAAGATGAAACACCAATGAAAAGGTAAGGTGTCGAATTGGAAGACACCTGGAACAAAGTATGAGAGGATGACAATAAAGAGGAATAAGCCATTCGAATTAAGAGCCAAACCCAACTGGCGAAGGTGGAAGGAGAAAGATCATGAACAGAGTACAACTGCCAAGGAAGAAAGAGGTAGGAACAGGCACCACCAAAGGCAGCTGTGTGGGCAATATAAGATAGAGGAGCGTGTACAGGACATAGAAGTCTACCCAGATCAGGTAGAGGATAAAAGTGTGAATTGGAATGAAGGGAAATGGCAACATGGAGGAGTTATCCACAAAAAGTGTTAGGGAGGAAAAAACGATCCAGAGAAAGGAGAAGATATGAAGAAGGATAAAGAGTACTTGAAACATCAATGGCAAATAAACAAACCACCGATGTCCACAGGCGAATAGGAAGGAAGACATAAGGGGAAACAAGGAGTATGGTGAGAGTGGTTAAAATATAGGCAAAGTAAGGCAGTGCAGGACCACATTAATATACCCATTCAGAAGGGCAGCCGCCATGGTGGGTGATGAATCCGGAAGTAATACACCAACAGGTAAAGTGTAAGAGAGGTAAGTATCTGCAATATCGAGAAAACTAAAGGTGTGGGACAGGGCCGCCCAAAAATCCGAGAAAGGAGAGACAGAAGACCCCTATTCAAAAGTCAAATGAGGAAATTTGCATGACAAGGAATAGCGGGTTGATAAGGGGAAGATATTGAACTCAGAAACCAACAATGGAAAACATTCCATTTGCAGTGACAAAGTTCCATGGAGGAAGGACAAATGAAACAAGCTAACTGTTAGGAGAAACCGAATCTCCTCACCAATAACCAGAGGAAAACCAGGTGTGAAGATAGAGAACAGGAAGGTCCAGATGAAACACCAGTAACAAAGAAGGGATGGAGTCAGAGGAAGAAGTTGGAGCTGGAGTAGCCACGGAAACCACAGCTGAGACAGCCAGGAACCCATGAATCTGCAGTGAAGGATTGCCAAAGGGTAATAAAATCATACAGTCAAGCTCGAACTGGACTGGAACCCACTGGTTAGTCCCCTGTACTGTTAGTAACATGTCCATCTGTGTTGATGAGAAACCCCTGGATAGAGGAACAGGAAAGGGTAGATAAGGACCAGAATGAGAAACAGAAATAGGGGCTTGTTTTTGGCTCCAAATGTGCAAGTAAAAAGGAAAGGAGAGAGTGTTGATGCACAGAATACACATGTGATACGAAAGTCTCTGGTACATGATTAAAAACTTATCACCATAGAAAAAGAGCCATACATAAATCCCTAAAAGAAAGAGGCACCAAATGAATCTGGGACAAGGTCGCATCACAACCCAGAAGATGGTGAATCATCTGAAAGCCATAACAGAATATGTTAGTACTTGTGTTATTGTGAGGAGTGGCATTTAAGTAGTCTGGATGATCACACTGGCAGTATGTGAAGGGACAGCCACTGCTGCTTGATACATCACAGTTCTCGAGAAAGGACTTTTACTTGCCTACTCCATCTCCCAGTACCAGACAGAGCAGTCTTTCAAGCAAGATAGGACTCTTGCTCATTCAGCCTGAGTCACAAAATGATGGCTTGAAGGTCATGCATGGCATTACCACTTTCCTGTGGGCAGGGCAATCACTAGATATGAAATTTACTAAGGATTTGTGATTCATTCTGATTGTTCCCTTTGAAACAACCAAAAACAAAACAACTTCTAGGAACATCTTCATCCAAATTATTTGTCAGGAGTGGGGTGCAATCCACAGGTCCATATTTCAGATCTTGTAAATAAGATGTGTAACTATGTTTCTGCATTGATTATTGCAAAGTGCAGATCCACTAAATACTAATGGCAATCCTGTTTGTTTGTTTTTATCCTTTGCTTGTTTAATAAAATGGTATTATTTCTAGATTAGATCTAATTTATTCATTAGTAGACTGTTTATATGTAGAAGATTTATAAGTTGTGGTCTCTTGGGTGATGTCTACCATATTACAACCTGAAGAGAAAATTAAAAAGGTGCTTATATCTGGCTATAAAATTCTAGATTTTGAATTTGATACAGCACATTATAGGAACTTCGGAAACATGGCTACAAAAATTGCTGTGTCATCGAGAAAAAAAGCTTTACTATTTTTTAGGAATAGCAGTTCCTGTGGGAATAGTATTTACAAAGTGAACTTGTTTTTGATATCCTACCTTAGAAAAACTTAAAATCCAAAAGTCATATTTAAATTTGTTTACCTTTTTTTATTAGGCTCAGTATAACCTGCAGGAATCTGGAACCAAGGGCCCATGGTTTGCATGTTATTTCTTAAACAACACTGAGCTCCAAACTTTGTGGTCATGGTTGTGTAATAAGAGTGATAGTAAAATCCCAAGTGAAGTAGCTCAAGAATTTACAGAGGGTTCTATTGATTAACTGCCCTCTCTCTAGTCTATCAGTTAAAAATAGAGAGGACTATCACAGATAACCGTGAGTATCTTTACATGAATAACCAAAACAAACTAAATGCTACTTGTTCATTTCAAATAATAATATAATTACTATGTATATTCAATGATAATACTGTTACGACAGCGGAAGTCACGCGACCCTGGGAGCATGCGCGCTGGAGTTTCTAGAAAGATTATGAACTTATAATGGCTGGAGACGGCTTGAATGGGTAATGATGAAAAACTTTAATATAAGTTTAACATAACAGCAAATGTTTGTCAAAACCTTGTCGAAACGTTGTACATTTGCTGTTATGTTAAACTTATATTAAAGTTTTTCATCATT